TTTGATTTCAACGAACAAATTGGTTCGTTGAATTTGGTTTAAACTTCCTTATTTTCTGTTCAGAATTTCGTAACGAAAATAACGGAATATTTGTGCTCGGGTGGGTTTTTTCTTCAGACAAATTTCGACTTTGTAATTTAATTAGTCTTTTTTGACGGAATTTTTAAAAGTCAATCGAAAGGTATTGTTGTTCTGAGCTTAAATTTGAAAAAGTATTTCACCTGTGATCACTTTTTTGCAGAGTTATGGGGATTTAAAGATTGCATTTTTGGCCAGTTTGGGACAATTAAGGCGCGATAAATTTCGCGCTATTAAAGCGTAAGCAGAGATTTAATCCTTCTTAAAAGTCGTTCTAAATTGGTTAAAGGAAGCTTATTTGCCAAATTGATTTGTTAATGGGAGCGAAATCTATAAGTTTGTACCTTTTGTGGGTAGATTATTTTCACAAAAATCTCATTTTTTTCCTTTTATTTTGCTACATTTAATTTGTTTCATGTTATTACTGCTCAATAGACCTTACAAGGCAGTCGGAACATTCAGGGCTTCGCTCTGATACGAGCAGACTTGTTAGATTATATAGACAAGCGATTCTAGATTATGAACTTTGAGTCAAGCTTGTCCATACCATTGGTCAAGTTCTCTTTCCTAGTGCTTGAAACATATTTGACTTCCGCAGAGAAATATAACGAGTTATGAAACTCTCATAAAAGCTTTTTGATCCCAGGTTTTCGGTCAAAAAACGGAATCGCGGCATTTTGAAAATCAAAGCAAAGTTCAAATACCACGGCCCAAAATCATATAGAACTATGGCTCAAAAAACTGAGGTCTACCAATTTTGCGTTTCTCGAACCCGAGAGTCTGTTGGTACAAATTTTTGGTTTTCGTTTTGGGCGATCGCTACTTTTGTTATCAAAAGACTTAAACGGCCGATAATATCTAAGATTTTAAGTTTATCTTAGGAGCTTAAAAATACAAGAAATCGAGTAGTGGCAATTGAATAACCATTGAATTTTTTCTAAAACCCACAGTAGAGAAATAATTATAAGTCCAAGTATACATAATTTTTTTTGTTTTGCTTGCAGTCAAAACAAAGGTGAAGTGCAATCAAAACTGTAGTTGCTTACCGCTTCGAATTCTTTCGATCAAAATTTGATTTGCTTCATCAGAGTTAAGATCAAAATACACTCATACGAATTTTTTTTCCGTCAGAGGATTGCCAAAACCATCACACAATGCGGGAAAATTATTAAATGCACATCGTTAAGTAGAATTTTTTAAATATTATCAGATCAAAAGACTATTTTTTGAAAACTACATGGGCAGTCGGCCAAAATGAAAACAGAGAATTGATACCACACCGTTCTGTTTAAGCATTGCTCTTTACAGCTTCCTCAATTCTGTTTCGGTATGATCAACTTAGCTTTTGAGCTGCTTCAAAATCAAAGCACATATGAACGATTAACATACGATTAGGAGCTCTTCGTTAAATTAGCTTTAATAAGCAAAAACTTAGAGGGAATCGACGAGACTGATAACTACTGCAACGAATGATTAGTCAAGGTTGTTTTAAATTCCATTGACCAGCCCACTTATGCCGCTGCAGCGGAGGCCTCAAAATTTGAATTAATCAGCAGATTATCGGTGCAAGTTTATTGTTCCAACTTGCACCGATAACATATTTGACTTCCGCAATATAACGAGTTATGAAACTCTTATTGAATTAATCAGCAGATTATCGGTGCAAGTTTATTGTTCCAACTTGCTTGAAACATATTTGATTTCCGCAATATAACGAGTTATGAAACTCTTATAAAAGCTTTTTGATCCCAGGTTTTCGGTCAAAAAACGGAATCGCGGCGTTTTGAAAATCAAAGCAAAGTTCAAATACCACGGCCCAAAATCATATAGAACTATGGCTCAAAAAACTGAGGTCTACCAATTTTGCGTTTCTCAACCCCGAGAGACTGTTGGTACAAATTTTTCGTTTTCGTTTTGGGCGATCGCCACTTTTCTTATCAAAAGACTTAAACGGCCGATAATCTCTAAGATTTTAAGTTTATCTTAGGAGCTTAAAAATACAAGAAATTGGGTAGTGGCAATTGAATAACCATTGAATTTTTTCTAAAACCCACAGTAGAGAAATAATTATAAGTCCAAGTATACATATTTTTTTTTTGTTTTGCTTGCAGTCAAAACAAAGGTGAAGTGCAATCGAAACTGTAGTTGCTTACCGCTTCGAATTCTTTCGATCAAAATTTGATTTGCTTCATCAGAGTTAAAATCAAAATACACTCATACGAATTTTTTTTCCGTCAGACGATTGCCAAAACCATCACACAATGCGGGAGAATTATTAAATGCACATCGTTAAGTAGAATTTTTTACATATTATCAGATCAAAAGACTATTTTTTGAAAACTACATGGGCAGTCGGCCAAAATGAAAACAGAGAATTAATACCAGATCGTTCTGTTTAAGCATTGCTCTTTACAGCTTCCTCAATTCTGTTTCGGTATGATTAACTTAGCTTTTGAGCTGCTTCAAAATCAAAGCACATATGAACGATTAACATACGATTAGGAGCTCTTCGTTAAATTAGCTTTAATAAGCAAAAACTTAGAGGGAATCGACGAGACTTATAACTACTGCAACGAATGATTAGTCAAGGTTGTTTTAAATTCCATTGACCAGCCCACTTATGCCGCTGCAGCGGAGGCCTCAAAATTTGAATTAATCAGCAGATTATTGGTGCAAGTTTATTGTTCCAACTTTTGTAACGAAAATAACGGAATATTTTTGCTCGAAGTGGGTTTTTTCTTCGGACAAATTTCGGCTATATCATTCAAAAGATATTGTTGTCCTGAGCTTAAATTTGAAAAACTATTTCACCTGTGATCATTTTTTGTAAAGTTGCCATTTTAATGATTGCCATTTTGGCCAATTTGAGACAACTAAGCGCGATATATTTCGCGCTATTATCGCGAGAGCGGATATTTATTCCGTCTTAGAAGTCGTTCCAAACTAATTAAAGCTCAATTTTTTTTAATTACTTTTAACTTTTTCATGTTATCACTGCTTCATAGAGCTTAAAAGGCACTCAGAACATTCAGGGCTTCGCCTTGATACGAGCAGTAGTGTTCATATTCACTGTCAAATTGCGCAATCTAGATACAAATTGCGGAACCTGGAATTAAACTGCGGAATCCAGGGACAAAAAAAAACAATCAAAATAAGAAAAACTGATGAGTCCTGGGAAAACTTGCAGAATTTGCTTCAACTGTCAAATAGAGTTTGCATTTGATTTCAACGAACAAATTGGTTCGTTGAATTTGGTTTAAACTTCCTTAATTTCTGTTCAGAATTTCGTAACGAAAATAACGGAATATTTGTGCTCGGGTGGGTTTTTTCTTCAGACAAATTTCGACTTTGTAATTTAATTAGTCTTTTTTGACGGAATTTTTAAAAGTCAATCGAAAGGTATTGTTGTCCTGAGCTTAAATTTGAAAAAGTATTTCACCTGTGATCACTTTTTTGCAGAGTTATGGGGATTTAAAGATTGCATTTTTGGCCAGTTTGGGACAATTAAGGCGCGATAAATTTCGCGCTATTAAAGCGTAAGCAGAGATTTAATCCTTCTTAAAAGTCGTTCTAAATTGGTTAAAGGAAGCTTATTTGCCAAATTGATTTGTTAATGGGAGCGAAATCTATAAATTTGTACCTTTTGTGGGTAGATGATTTTCACAAAAATCTCATTTTTTTCCTTTTATTTTGCTACATTTAATTTGTTTCATATTATTACTGCTCAATAGACCTTACAAGGCAGTCAGAACATTCAGGGCTTCGCTCTGATACGAGCAGGCTTGTTAGATTCTATAGACAAGCGATTCTAGATTATTAAAATTTTCAATAGTTGATATTGTGCCAAGTTAAAAAACCGGAGCGGCATTTTAATAGTACAATTCATGTTCACGACACGGAGAAGAACTCTTTGTGGGCCATTTTGAGGTACTTTTTTGAATTATTCTGACTTGGCCAGAGGCGGATTTAGAATTTTCTCAAGGATGGGGGGGTTGCGGCGGAGTTTCAAAAACAATTGAGACTCTTTTGACCGAAATTTCCGAGTCGCAGGAAAATTTTTTGTTAAATGGGCCAAAAATGCGTTTTTTTTTGGCAATTTTTGTAAAATTTTGTCAATAAAATAGCGTATTTTTGGCGCGCACTCTGTTTAAAGACTAGTATATGTATGACCAAAGGTCCTTTTACAAAACTTTTAATGTTGGTTGGCCGAACAGGGAAGTCGTAAATTAATACCCAATCTGGAACCCTTTGGTTGGTGAGTGGGTCGAATCACTGAAAGTGGGCGACTTCTCGCCTAAATTCGCCCTGGTCATACCCACAATAGCTCATCAAGATCTGTTTTTCCAAGCTGAGATCATTTTCTAAGAAAAGTCCTGAAAAAAAAATAAATCGAAACTTTTATTTTGTTTCTTTTTATATAGTGCATAAGGGGTAAGATGGTGGCTAATATTGTAAAACAAAGGATACAGAGGAGGGTAGTTTCATGATTCAAGGGAAAATGTTTTCATAAATTAGTGGATCTGTTCATATTTGACGTTCGGTAAAGGATCTAATACCCAACAAGCAGACTCCTTCAGAATTGCCTCGAAGCTCTTTATTGCTTATGACAAGCTGTTGGAAAAATAGGCGATCTTGGGATTATTAACCGGTCAGTTGGGATAGCTCTACAAACTCACGGGGAACTTTTCTATATAACAATAATTATCTCAAACAATTAAGGTTGGATTTGGTAGGATGGTGAGAGGGGCGGGCGATCTGTTCTCAAAAAATTTATTGACAAAAAATTGATCAATCTAGACAAATGAAATTTTTTCTCAAAACGTCTTTCAAATAGAATTTTTGTCATTGTCTTTAAGAAAAGGAGTTAGGACGTTCTAAAAAAATGACAAGAAAGTTTCAAGAAATAACAAGAAATTGGCCCCTCTCACTTTTCAAATCCAGCCTTACTTTCATAGTCCTCTCTCCACTCTTCTGTCTCCTCCTGTCAGCTGGTTTGGGCCTAACTTTGCTGATGTTGCGGGCGACTTTCCTTGCGGCTGTCCAGTCCGGCGGGTGGCCGCTCTGAAGAGGATGGACAATCCCTGCTCCTCTTTCCCGTCTTCATTCCGACCATGTTGAAGAAGCAGCTGCGGAATGAAGAGCTGGAGAGCATGTAGATCAAGAAGTTGGTGGAGTTGGTCATGCCGATCATCATCTGGGCTATCATCCGGTAGATCGAGTTGCTCATCGTGTTCTTTTCCCTTCTGCAAACACAAATATCACTCATTATCAGAGGCTTAAGCAAAGCCAATTCAGTTACAAGCAGGAGCGGTTGCTGTGCAATTTGCACAGACAGCTCCCACCACAGAAAACATGCCAAAAACAAATGAAATAGTTGTTTTTTTTTGTGAGGGAACAATGGAGTTGAGTTTAAAACAACCGCTTATTTAAACTGTTTTACAGCATTACTGTCAAAATGTGAAAAGTTTCTATAAAAAATTACAATAAATTAAATGGATATGTCTAAAAAACAAGTATTCTCAGACGCTTTCGTCGGTTACACTTTAACCTTTCCCAGATTTCCCAACGGAGCAGCTGAAACTACGACTAGAAAGGCTTGAACGTGCTAAATCACTCATTATTGCATGACGTTTTTTCTGACAGACACACAAAAGACTACTTGATTCTGACAGATGAAAAATTCACAGAATTCCTGCCCATTGGGTCCTGGGTACAAAAGCAAAGAATATTTTGTGGGTTTTTAGAAAGGAAATAGATTGAAAAGTTATGTAAAAGAGATGGTCTGAGAGAGGCCATTGCGCTTTTACACCTTGTATCTAAATTATTAAGATGTGAGAAATATTTGCTGTCATAAATAAAAAAATAATAAATTGAAGTGTGACACTTGTAATGATTATGTCTCAGATAATAGACATTTTTAACACTCTTGTCCTTGCAAACAATCTCCCGTACTGTTCACCAGATAAAACGGCCTGAATGAGGTTTTCCAATCAATCTTGATCAAAACTGAAAACGTGATCAAAAATTCGAAAATCCAAACTTGACTGAAAGGTCTGTTGTTAGTGTTATAATATAAATTTGTTAGAGCTATTAATCAATTTGTTCTATTGTTATTCGTCTGGTAACGCTATTTCTTACAATCTCGTAAAATCAAAATTTTTGCCATTTGCATGACAGCCTCTATTAAAAATGTTCCAATTTGATTCATTTTTGTTGCAAAATGTCATCACTTATCAAAACTGTTCAACATGAACAGATAATGAACAAGAATTACGGAGAGAAATCAAATTGCTGAAAGCTTGTAGAAGTTTTTTTGAAATTAAGAAACTTCCAAACACGAACATTTCGGGAGATATAACAGCACCGGAGGTTACACTGCTCAAAAAACTAATCGTTTATCTAATTATTTATTTCATTGCAAGTGCTTATTCTAGGGTACGTTTTCAAGTTTTTAAGAATCACGCCAATGCTTAAAGTAGTAGACAGCTCGTATACCAGGACAAAGCTTTGAATGTTTTGATCGCAGTTTAAGGCCTACTAAAGTAACTTCTGGTTGAAAAATTGGCAAAATAGCCGAATTTTTTTTTTCAGTTTTTCTTGATGTATGCCCTATAAAGGGATGCATTTAGCTTCTGCCCTAATGATAGTACAATATGGTTTGTCTCAATTTAATCTGGAACGCCCTAATTTATCTCTTACGCAAGTTATAATAACGCAACTAAATTGGCTAAATTAACAACTTCCAAATCTAGCTACTTCTATAAAAATGATCGCAGATTTTTTAAGATTTGAGCTCCGGATAAAAATATATTTAAGATTTTATAGAAAAAGAAGTTCCGTAAAAGTTGCTCAGTTGAAAAAGGAAAATTGGCTAAATAAAAAAATCGGCCCAAGCATAAAAATTGCGAAAAAAAAATCGTTGTTGGGAGTTTTCTGTAACAACCTTTCCATCGCGTGAATTTCAACATCGAAGTTACTCGCTTCTAAATAATGGTTTCTTGGAATCGATTCGAACGAAACCTCCTTATTTTGATTTGGGCCCAACAAAGACTTTTCGAAAGCAGGACATAAAAATTTTGCTATTTAAAGCAAGACATTGAGCGTTTTCGATTTTTTTTCCAAGTCAAGAGGTTGAAAAAAAGTGGATTTTTTTAATTCTACCAAATTCTACCACATGCTAGCTCCTACGACATCCTAACCTGTGCACATAAGTATAAAGAGATATTATTAGTAAATCGTATCTCCAAAGAAAAGTTTGGAACAACTTAATCACCCATTTACGCGTGTTGTACGAAAGCAATAAATCGCGCATTTAATATCATAAATTGACCAATTTATCAGTTTTCAAACCTTCATAACTTCAGAAAACATAATCACATTATGTTTCATTCCACTTGAGCTCCGGACAACATTATGTTTCAGCAAGGTAATCAATTAATATGTCAAAAAACCTAGTTAAAAAATCGAATTTAATTATATAAAAATTCACCGCAAGCGTACAAAATCCATACTTTCTGGAAGTCAAAAATGTTCATCATCGTATAGTTAAACAATCTAAAAGTCGGCTGAAAAAAAATCCTGTATTGTTCAGAAAGCCCAAACTTTCCAAAACACGTACGACATGAAAATTTCATATTATTTTTGAATCAATAGTATTAAAAAATTATATCAAAATATTCTCCGGATTATCTTAAAAAATTCATTCTGAAGAGTTACAAATTTTAACACATACAACTTATTTGGTCTAGTTTCTGTATTATTGGACAAAATTGATATCATTGATAGTTAAAACGCATAAAACAACCTTATGCGTTTTAACTAGCAATGATATCATTGTTGTCCAATAATACAGTAATTAGACCAAATAAGTTGTCTCTAATGAAATTTTTAATTGTTAAGAAGGAATATTTTGCCGTTTGTTCAATTGCACTTACAGATATTTTAATATAAACGTGTAAATTTCTGCAAAATGGACACATTGCAATTTTTTCAAAAATCTTTTTTGTTTTTACAAAAGATGGTTACAATTGCATTTTTTATCGAATCTTTTGAGTAAAGTTTAGATATACTCAAATTTTGTGTTGCATCCAACTTGTGTAAATTAACTATTTCATGTTTAGTAATTTAGTTATTTCTAATGAAAAACGTCAAACATTGCCACAAAATCGAAAAAAATATTAGGCGACTCGTAGTTATTGAGTTTTCTTTTATATATGCACTGAAGTCAATTGGCGCATTGCGCATCTTTGAATAACTTTTATACCAACTACGTTTAAACCATGCATAATTGCTATTTTAAAAGTTTAGATTTCGTTTTTGACATTTATTTTTTCGAACCTGTTTTCAAAGTCAACATTTTTTCTTAGAAAAATAGGTACAGATTGCAGAACTTCTTTGTTATTTTTTGATTCGAGTTTCAGAAAAGCGACCGAATGTTTGTGCGGGTTGAATTTTTTCTCCAGGCAGTTTTCGATTTTTTAGTTAGTCATTTATGACAGGATTTTGACGGGAATCATCTGGAAGCTGTTGATGTCTTGAGATCAAATTGAAAATATTTATGTTTCACTAAAGTTACAAGAGTTTGAAAACTGCCATATTGACCGATTCGCAACAATTAACATTCGGTTTTTTATGCTATCAACGGTACAATTTTTTTAAATTCGGCTCAAAAATTGGTCCAAATTGAACTGAGCTATGCCAGTTATTCTAGTTATTATGTTAGCATATGCTAAATATGTCAACTATAATAATTGTACTTTGAATATCATATGAAAACTGTGTCATTTAAAAAAAAAATTTTCTCATTTTGAAAGTCTTGTTCTCCTCAATAGACTTTGAAGTGCAGTTGGGACTTTCAAGACGTTGCCTTGATAAGAGCAATTTTGATCAAAGACAAAAAAATAGGCACAAATTATCAATCTCTAAAAAAAATTCCTGGCTTGATTTATCTGCTCAGCCGCGCCACATACTGCAGGTGCATTTTTGATTGTAATACCCCTCTTTTAACTAAAATAATTTCAAAAATACCAGCCCAGCAGTATTTAAAAATGCTCATCTTACAAATTTATAGAAGGTAAATGATGCTTAACCTACAAAATATTGTCTGTTCGTGACGCAGTTTTATGCAGTTTTCAATTCCATTTGTGATAGTTTGAATGTGATAGTTTGTGATAGTTTGATTGTATAATAGTTCTAAAGATGACACGTTTCCCCGAAAAAAAAATTACGCATTAACATAAAAAATCGCGCATTAACATAAAAATAGCTGAAATCGCGCATTAACATAAAAAAAAAACGTTTGTACAGCTGTTTTTTGATATGTTTTGATATGAAAAGGGTACTCCAATTATTTGAAATTTTACCCGTAAGTACAAAATCTCTTGTTTTTATCCGTTACGCATTCCACTACCAGTGAAAATTGATTTGAAAACTGTCAGTTATCGAAAAATACACCAAACAAATTATTCTGTCTTATGATTCAAAAATCTTCATGATGAGCATGAATCAGAGATCCCAGAGTGGGAAAATGTTGTAAGTTTTTGCATGTTATTGTTCCCAATTTCGAAGAAAGTGACGACGGTTCTTGCTCGAGTGGTTTTTCCAGACAAGCTTCGGTTTTTTAAACAGCAAAATTTAACGGAGTTTTTTGATTATTTTTCAAAAGTTATTAATGTCTTGAGCTCAAATTCAAAAAAAAGTATTTCACCAATGATATTTTTTTTGTGACCTTGTGGTGCTTTAAAGATTGCCAGTTTGGGAAAATTGCCGCGTGAGATATTCCGAGCTATTAATGAATGAGGGAAGATTTAATCCGGCATAGAAATCGTTGAAATTGGTTGAAGCAGGCTATTTGTCATAATTGATACGTTACTTGGAGCAAATCTATCACTTTTCATTTTATATGGCGTGCATGACAATGATAAAAAATGTCAATATTAAAAGAAAATGTTTTTTTTTTCAAGTTCAATTGTTAAGCAAAAATCGGCCCAAGCATAAAAATTGCGAAAAAAAAATCGTTGTTGGGAGTTTTCTGTAACAACCTTTCCATCGAGTGAATTTCAACATCGAAGTTACTCGCTTCTAAATAATGGTTTCTTGGAATCGATTCGAACGAAACCTCCTTATTTTGATTTGGGCCCAACAAAGACTTTTCGAAAGCAGGACATAAAAATTTTGCTATTTAAAGCAAGACATTGAGCGTTTTCGATTTTTTTTCCAAGTCAAGAGGTTGAAAAAAAGTGGA